GATAATTATTTATTGTGACTATAGTAAATATTTACATTGGATATGGCAAGTAAGCTTTTCTTTGGGTCTATTTCAGATAATCCCCCCCCCCCCCCCTTTTTTTTTTAGAAACCAGGTCTCACCAAAATTACCTGGGTTAGGCTAGAATTTGCTATTATCCTGTCTCAGCCTCCCTAAATTCTGGGATTATAGCTATACACCGCAACACCCAGCTATGGAGACAAGCAGTTTCTGGCCCTTTGACCACTCTAACTTATTGGACCAGTGTTTTCAGAGAACAACCTACACTTGTAGATTTAGAGACTTCCGGAGTTAGAAATAAGTGCCAGGCCCATCTCCTAGAATACAGATTGATGGTCTTGGCCCAGGCTGATGATCTAATAAATGCCTAGTGGTACAGAGACATGTCCATGACATGTATACCTCCCCAGCTTACCTGTATTAGTCAGGGTTCTCCAGAGAAGCAGAACCAAAGGATATGAAAAGAGACATAAATTAGCTCAGGGCCAGGGATTTAGCTCAGTGGTTCGGTGGCCTGCCTTGCAAGCGCAAGGACCCGAGGGAGTTCAATCTCTGGTACCAAAAAAAAAAAAAGAAAGAAATTAGCTCATGGAGTCAGGCGTAGTGGAACACACCTATAATCCCAGCACTCAGAAGGCTGAGGCAGCAGGATCGCTGTGAGTTCGAGACCAGCCTGGGTTACATAGTGAGTTCCAGGTCAGTCTCAACTACATAGTGAGACCCTGTCTCAAAAAACAAAACAAAACCAAAAAGAAAAGAAATTAGCTCATGTATATGATGTCTGAGAAGTCCAAAATCCACAGGACAAGTGAGCATGCTGGTAATTCTGGCAAGGATCTGTGTTGCAGTCTTGTCCCTGATGACATTCTGGAGGCTGACTTCTCTCCTTATCAGAGGACCTGACTTTTAAGTCTTTTAACTGGTTGTGTGAGGCTGGTCCACATTATGGAACATAATCTGCTTTACTCAACTACCTGGTTGGTTTGTTTTGTTTTGTTTTGTTTGAGACAGCGTCTCACTATGTAGTTCAGGCTGGCCTTGAACTCACTATGTAGTCCAGGCTGGCTTCCAACTCAGGGAGATCTTCATGTCTCAGCCTCCTGAGTACAGGCATGCACCACCATGCCCAGTTCAACTCTCTTGATTTAAATGTTAATCAGGTCTTTAGAAACACATCATGGTAACACCTAGACTGGTGTTTGATGGGCCCTATATCGTCTAGCTGAATTGACACATGAATCTGTCACCCCCTCTCTTTAGTTCCCAGCCCTAGATGTTGGCTTTCTGCCTTGATTCTATACATGTCCCTTCAAGTACTGATTCCTGCCAGTTTTAGCCCAGTTGTGCCTCTGCCTGCCTTGAAAAGCGCAAGATCCTGAGTTGGATCCCCAGTACCAAAAAAAAAATGAAGAATTGATTCCTCTCCAGCTCTTGGGAGGCTGAGACGGGAGGCTCATCACAAGTTCAAGGCCAACCTGGAGTACATAGTGAGTTCAAGGTCAGGCTGAACTCACAATGAAACCCTGTCTCAAAAAAAAAAAAAAAAAGAGAGAGAGAGAGAGAGAGAGAGAAAAGAACATACTCCTGAAACCTTGGCACCATAATCCCAGCAGGCTGAGGCAGGATCACAAGTTCAAGACCAAACTGGACAACTCAGCAAGATTCTGTCTCAAAATAAAAATTTTTTTTAAAAAAGGTGTGGGGATTCATCTCAGTGCAAAGGCCTTGGGTTTAATCTTCAGTACAGGACCAGGGGTGAGGTAAGGCTAGGAGGAGGAGTTGCTGCTCCTTTTTATCCAACCCATACCTCTGCAGTCTAGTCACTGGACTGTTTTCAGTCTAAAGTGAAGAGGCTTTCCTGGGTCCATCTGCTTGGAACAGTAAGGCTTTTCCCACTTAGCATAGTGGCACATGCCTGTAACCCAGTATTCTGGAAGGCTGAGACAAGAAGATTATAAGTCCCATCCAACCCTATCCCCAAATTTAAAAATTTTGAAAAGGACTGGAGATGTAGCTCAGTATGAAGGCCCTAGGTCCAGTCTCCCCAAAATATTCCCTCATGTAAACCCCTTGGAACTTTGAGATTTCCCTTTATGCCTTACTTGTAGGTATTGGGAAGAATGTGGTCTGTGAGAAAGCAGCGACATCGGTGGATGCCTTCCGGATGGTGACAGCCTCACGCTACTACCCACAGCTCATGAGCCTGGTGGGAAATGTGCTGCGCTTCCTGCCTGCCTTCGTGCGTATGAAGCAGCTGATTGCAGAGCATTATGTAGGCGCAGTGATGATCTGTGATGCCCGCATCTACTCAGGCAGCCTGCTCAGCCCAAGCTATGGCTGGATCTGTGACGAGCTCATGGGTGGCGGGGGCCTGCACACCATGGGCACCTACATCGTGGACCTGCTGACCCACCTGACTGGCAGGAGAGCTGAGAAGGTCCATGGGCTGCTCAAGACCTTCGTGAGGCAGAATGCTGCCATCCGTGGCATCCGGCATGTCACCAGCGATGACTTCTGTTTCTTCCAAATGCTCATGGGTGGAGGAGTATGCAGCACAGTGACGCTTAACTTCAACATGCCAGGTGCCTTCGTGCATGAAGTCATGGTGGTGGGCTCTGCAGGGCGCCTTGTCGCCCGTGGAGCTGACCTCTATGGGCAAAAGAACTCTGCCACACAAGAGGAACTGCTAGTGAGAGACTCACTGGCCATGGGTGCAGGGCTGCCTGAGCAGGGGCTCCAGGATGTCCCCCTGCTCTACCTGAAGGGCATGGTCTACATGGTGCAGGCCTTGCGCCAATCCTTCCAGGGCCAGGGGGACCGTCGCACCTGGGACCGTACCCCTGTCTCCATGGCTGCCTCATTCGAGGATGGGCTCTACATGCAGAGTGTGGTGGATGCCATAAAAAGGTCAAGCCGTTCAGGGGAGTGGGAGACCGTAGAGGTTCTGACAGAGGAGCCTGATGCCAACCAGAACCTGTGTGAGGCTCTTCAGCGGAATAATCTATGAGCCTGCAGATGGGCTCCCTGCCCCAGGCAGGGCACAGGGATCTGGGAGGGAGCAATGATGGAGGTGCACCGGGCCATAGCAGGGACAGTGTCATTCATTTAATAAATCACCTTGGACTACAGCAGAGAGAAAATTGAAGGTGGCCCAGGGAAATCTCCCCTTCCATCCATTCATTTACTCCTATTGCAGGGTGGTAGACACGCCTACTACCATAGCCCAGATTAGCATTATGTGTAGGGCAGAGCTGCTGCCTGGTCTCTTCATGGCTGTGCTAGTGAGCGGGACCAATGAAAACCTAACCTGTGGGCTCTTCAGCCCCACTTGTGGTCTGACAGGAAAAAGCCCCACAAAGAGCCACGTGGGCTGAGGTCTGAGGAGAAATGACTAGAAGCCTTGTTATTTCCATGCCCTTCTTGAGGGGCTGGGGCATCTCATGAATGGTGAGGCAACAAGTCATCCCTCTGGGATCTTCACCTGCCCTGCTAAGTGATGGTATCAGGCCAACCTTCAGGGAGGAGGGATTTCGGTGTTCAGTGAGCTCTTGTGGGCTGTGGATATAAGGCATAGGGCCCCAACTTAACAGAGAGGAGATAAGGGGAACCATAGAACATCTGATAAATGTCACCATATAAATCAGAAAATGTGACGTCTTGGGGTGTATTTTATTTGGTTATTGGGTTTAATAGTGAAAGGCATATTTATTGCTGTAGATTTTATCTTTCCTTACAACTGCACAGCAGCTCTGATCCTACTATGGCTCCAACACCATCTGTTGGGTCACATAGTCTCCTGACAATCCCTGCCCCTCATCTCCAGCTTGTTCACTCATGGCCGAGTCTTCCAAAGATATGTTTGCTCAGAGGGCAGGACACAGAGTTTTTGGATGAGATGCTGTTGGGCCTGCCATTTCAGGCAGGTAGGTGAGAACCGAGGGCCTCCTGGGCTGGACTTTGGGAGGTTCTGTTTTTGAAAACATGGTGTGACTCCAGGAGGACCCTCCTAAGGCGATGAGTTTGAGGACAAAAGAGTCACCACCCCTTGGCACAATTTTGACTGGCACTGCCTGACCCAGATAGCCACTCTCCAGACATGTTTATTAACTGTCCCAGACAGCATTTTGGCCACCTCATTCAGAGGTGGGTAGGGTGTTGAGAAGGGACACATGTGCCCCTTTTGCAAGTTGCTGGATTATGAAGCCTGGACAAACTCTGTCCTTCTCTAGCCTTCCTCCCTCTTCCTGCCCTGAGCTCCTGGCCAGAAAAGCCCAGGGGAGATCTTCCCCTTCCTCTTGGCAGCCCTTATAGAGGTCACCAGGCCTGTTTTCCTGCACTGTCGTCTTCATGCCTTGTCCGTGTGAACATAAAATATGGGCTAGTGTTGGAGTTTACTTACAGCATTCTGGGTCCCCAGGTAAACACTTTAAGCATATTCTTTAATCTCCAAACCACTCTAGTAAGGTACTACTAATAGACTCATTATCCAGATCAGAAAACGGGCATATGGCAGGAAATGGGGGCACAGTTACTCACCTCCTGTGGGTTGTAATTGATGGGATCCAGGAGCTTGGTCAGGACCACCTAACTACAGCATCAGACCGAGAGCTGTGCTTGATCCCAGCACTCAGAAATTCCCAGGCCTAGGCACTGCCCCTTCAGCCAGGATCTACTTGGCCAACACTGGGAGGTTAATTGCGGAGAGCCCATTCTCAGGCTGGACGCTGGCATTTAAAGGAGGGTTATCTCTTGTTCCTAGAATGATCAGCTCTGCTCAGCCTCAGATCAGATGTTGCTAGAATGCCAGTCTTAATTTGGGAATTGACCAAGAAAAAACAAGATGCTCCTACATAAGAAGGGGCAGTGTTGCTGACCCAGAGTGACTAAAGTTAGATTTTGGAGGACTCTGTTGTTTACAGAGAGACTGATTCTTCAAGTGCTGGAGCACATTGCAGTGGACCTAGTACAGATCTACTTCTAGGTCCCATGAGCACATCTCCCAGAGCATCCCCCACACCCCTGAGATCTTTACCATTCTGTATCTTGTGGGCATCAGCACCTGTTGGTCTCTCGCTTTGGGAATGGGGAGGAGAGTTGGGCCCTGAAATGGCCCAGATGCTTGTGACCCAGGGAGCCTGTGGTGATTTAAACCCAAAACTGGTTCCTGGCTTGTCCTGCAGCGCCCCCTCCTGGAGGATGGCAAATCTCCCAGGACCTGTTTCCCAAACCTCAGGATGCTAACTGCGCTTCCTCAGGTAATAGTTTTTTCTGGCTAGTGAAAATGAAGTTCACCTTTCCCCTCAGAAATAGCAACCAGAAGAGAACTTTCAAAATACCCATTGCATAGTCACCAACCTCCAAACAGGTCTACACCTTATACCCAGACCTGGCAGCTGCTGCTTCATCTTTCCATTCTGTGTCTCCCCCATTCTGCCCTTCACGCTGCTGTGCATGCAGCCCTTGCACAGTGTTCAGCTCAGACCCCTCTTTATCACCCCCAGACTTGCCAAGCCTGTGCCCCTGATGGCCATGCCATCTGCATTGGCCACACTTAGCAGCCTTCCTGCATAGGACTGACATCTTCCACACCAGCAGGGTATCATCCCTGGCTTGTCCTCACCCTGAGAAGCAGCAGTTATGTCCTTCAGTAGTTGAAAGGCTGCCTCATTATCACTTGTCCCCTAAACAAAGTGGCAGTCATCCCACTGCCTGTGGTCCCGCATGTCCATTTGAATTATGCTGCCTCTGAATTTCCCCTTATGGTGAGCTTTCAGGAGCTTCAGGGACTTATTTCTTCCTGTTGAGACAAGCCTGTGGGTAATGGCTCAGGAATTTTAGGCCAGCACTCTTCCCAGAACATTATTTCCTCCCTTGCCTGTGGGGAGATCAGGAGCAGAGCTTCCTCCTCTGATGTCCTTGCCATACCAGTCACCACCCAGAGAGAGCAGATGCGAGGACAGGGCTCCCAGCCCCCAGGGCATAATCTCTTGTAAGGCTGAGTCAAACTCATTTAGTTTTGAAACACTGAAAAATCTGTGCTTTTCTCCTTGGATGAGATTCCATCTTCATGGCTCCTGGGAAGTCTGTAGGCAGAAAGAGGGTCCTGACCCTGAAGCTTCCCTGTGGCATTGCTGTGAGGCCAGTGAGCATCCAAGTGATTCCCCCCTGGCATCCTGAAAAGTTGCCATTTTCATCCTCTTCCTTCCACATGGACCTGTGCCAAGACATCAGATGATCACCCCTCCAGTGACCATATCAGGCCATTATTCCAGGTCCCCTGCTGGCTGGGTTCCAGGTGACTTCAGCTAGTTCAGATTCTGATCTGTCCTTTCCACAGCCTGCATCCTTCACCTTGGTCTCCCTCAGTTGGTGCCTTTAAGGGAGCCCTCTGCTAGGTGGATGTGAAACAGCGATGCATGCCCTTGGGGAGTTCACAGTTGCAAAGACAGTTTATAAACTCCGTGACAGTAGTGTGTAGATTCTACAATCTGCTGCTGCCTGGCTCAGCAGGAAAAGGGTATCCGAGGTGTCCAGGGTAAATATGTGCAAGCCAGGAGGGGCAAGTGGATAAAGGCATTTTAAATAGGGAAAGCCATGGGCAGAATATGAAGGTCAGAAAAGATGTGGCTGGTCAGGGAGTGACAGGCAGCCACAGAAATTCTGAGGCTGCTGCAGCAAGGAAAGCAAGGAGTTAGAAGGGACAATGTATATCATCAGAAGCACAGGTGTGTGTGCCAGGTTCACTGCAAAGATCTGGGCCCAGGGTCTACTACAGTCAGGCTGAAGTTCTTACCTAGAGATGGCCATTGGCCAGGAATGAGGCTGACCATGGGGCCTGCGAGGGCAGATTCACTGGCTTTGATAGCCAGTTTGGCTGGTAGGAATCAGGGTGCAAAGAATAGGATGGAGTCTGAGATGACACCAGGATTTTGGCTCAAACAATTTTACAGATGAGATATGGGAGGAAAACCAGGTTTGGAGGGGGGAAAGTTACTTATCTAATTTGGAATGCCCTACATTTCAAGTGTGAGAGACACATATAACAAATGGGAGGCTTATGGCCACATAGCCAGCACTGTCCAGCTCTTCCCAGAGATCCCGAGGGCTGGAGGCAACAGTCATCTGGTGTCTTGGCACAGGCTCCAGTGAGTACATTCACTGCCATCACTACCACCAACAACAACCCTCTGTCAGAAAAAAAGGCACCAATACCCTGTCACCAGGGCACACTCCACGGGTGAAGTCTGGTCCATCTGTGCTGTGGAAATGAGTGGAAAACATTCCACAGCTGCCTCTCTTGGAGCAGTCAGGTAAACTCTGCTGCCTTAGAATCTCAGTGTTAGTCCCCTTGAGGTCAGGCTGAATGCAGGGCCTTATGTGGAAGGCAGAAAACAGGGCCAAACACCTTCCCGTGACCTTTTTCTTTTTTTTCTGCCCCAAATTCTCCCTACTCACCTCCCTCTTCATCTCCCATTTCCAGCCTCTGACCCTCAGATTCAGGCAGGACTAAATTCATAGAAGCAAGCCTCATGCCTCGCTCACCCACTTCCTAACTCAGATCTATTTTTCAAGGTCCCTGGCCCTGACAGGACCAGTCAGGTTTCAAACCTCCACCCTTCTTCCCAGCCTCTTTCCTAATTCAAGGATCCTATGTGGGGAACAAAAGTCTTAGAAATGGAAAAATGTTTATTTTCTGCAAGCCCATGTTCCCAAGTGGGGTCAGAGGCTGAATTCCCTCCTTCACATAATGGTCTAGGCCAACAGACTGAGGCTTGGCTCAAGCCTGGAGGGAAGGGAACCCCAAGGAAGCAACAGTCACTTGTACTGAGGGGACAGTGGGGGCACAAAGGGAGCAGCACAGACACTCAGCATCTTGTCGATGTCTATTTGTGTTGACTTATCCACTTCGGCCTTGAGGCAGCCAGCCACTCACCCACAGGCTGGGCAAGCCCCCAGGCTGCACTCCAGCCTGCTCGCCCAGGGGAACCGGAGCAGGGGTAGGCGGCACTAATGCACTGGAGCAGGGCAAAGCAAGGCCTAAGCTCAGCTCACCTGCCATGGGCAGTAAGGCCTGCAGCTGCTTCAAACTCAACTCTTCAGGAACCAGGGCCAGCTCCAACGTAGGGTCCACCTTTATCTCCCTGTTCCCCTCTGCTTGGTTCAGCTCAGGGTTGCAATAGTTGATGTACTGGTACAGTGGCCTCAGGCGCTGGGTTTTTCCTGCAAGGATCCAGGGCAGAGTAGGGGTTGGAGCACCAGGCTGTTCCATGTCAGATTCAGCCAACAGAGGGGAAGGCCTGGGGACTGCTACTCACGCTCCAGCATCTCTGGGGCTGTACACACTGTGCTGGCCACAGCTGGGAGCACAGGAGCCCCCAGACTCTTGCGTTTCTTGGCTTTTTTGTGCTGTTTTGCAGATGGTGAGCGCTCACTCTGAATGCTCTCAGGCTCCTCCCTTTTCAGCAACAGTGTCCCTGATGGCAGCTCAGCTTCAGTCCTAGGATGTACATGGTGGCTAGGCCCTGGGAGGATGGGGGACTGGGGACAGGGACAAGAGCCCTGAGGAGGCAGCCTTCAGTCTCTGGGTCATATTCTTTGAGCCCAGAGACCTGCCATGCCTGCCCACGACCCCAGGCTAGATAGCGGCCATCCCTTTCCTGGTCAATGAAGCCCAGAACCGATACCAACCCATGTTCATATGAGCTCAGTGCCCTAACAAGACTTGGAAGCTCCATCTCTGTGCTTCCTATACCAGGGATCTGGAGGAACACAAGGGGTGACAGTGATGGTAGTTGCAGGAGGACAGGAATCTTCTGTGCAAGAGTGCAGGATTTAGGAATCCTAGGTTGTGGGGCCCATCCCCTAGCCCTGCAGCTCCTTCCCTCCAAAAGCCCCCTTACTTGACTGGTTTCTCCTTCAGCCCATGACTGGGCCTATCAATGGAGCCCAAAGACCTGGGGCCCTTCTCCTCTCCTGTCTCTGCCTCCGGCTCTATTCCCTTCTCCTCCTGCTTTAGCCCTTCTTCCTGGTTCTTTGGCTCTGAGCAGTGTCCTGTTGTACACTTGTCTTCATCCTGGGTCCTGCAGGTCTCTTGCACTGGCACCAGGCACTGATTTCCTGTCACTGTACACTAGAAGTGACATGTAAGTAATTAAATACCATGACCAGGTGAAGGATGTAGGGGTCAGTCATTAAATAGGCAACTTTAGCCAACAAACACAGGATAAAGGGCATCAGCCCAGGCCCCTTCCTTCCTGTAGGGTCTTGGTCTGGCAGTTAGGGGGTGGAATCCCTCAAGAGTCAGGCCCCCAGAATTGGGTGACCAAGTGTTTAATGGCTAGTCAGCCCTACCCTCAGTCACCTCAGGCCTCTGAGCATGGCTACCACACACCTCTGTAACGAGGGCCTGCCCTAAGGCTGATCCCTCCTGGGCCCCTGGGCAGTTCTTGTTATCTGCTGAGACCATGGCTGCACCAGATCAGCGTATCCTCGACGGTTTCAGGGGTGGGGTGGGGGGCGGACCTCGAAGAGCTGGACTGGTGAACCCTTTGCTGATTGGGGAGATCAGAAGGGAGACAAGGGCTGAGCTGGGAAGACCAGTGGGCCCTCCGCCCACCCTCTGCTGAAACTACAAGTCCCAGAAGCCCTTTCACCAGGGACCTGACCTCAGGGACGGAAGCTATTTGTTGCTTGGCAACAGCAACTGCCGTTGGGTTGCAGAAGCTGGCGGCAAAGCTACTCCAGTGAGACCCTTCCGGTGTTGCGGGAGAAGTGTGTGAACCGGCTGAGAATTGGGTTAGGATCCAGGTAGTGCAGGCCGAGCATGCAGGCCAGACCCACCAGGGGCTGGGGGCTGCGGACGGGGAGAAGGAATGGGCTCATGGCATGGCTGAAGAGTTCATGGGACCGGGGTGGGGCGGATTGGGGGGGGGGGCTGGACT